ATGCGGGACTCGATCCCGGGACTCCAGGATCATGACCTGAGCCGAAGGCAGTCGCTTAACCAACTGAGCCACCCAGGCGCCCGTGGCAATCAATTCTTAATCAGAAATCAAATTGGTTCTGATTTTTTTAACATAATGTTTGCACAAAGGTTAATAAAAGAATTGAAATTCTATCAGCTAACAAGTAGGGTCCTAGAAGATTTTGTAACTTAAAATCAAGCAAATTGAGTTTTAATTTTCTGTTTTGCCAAAATGTTATAATAATCTTACAATTATATATATATTTTGCTGTTGCTAAGAGTACAATAAGGAAAAACCTCTGCTAGTTTTTGGAGCTAAAAAATGTTCTACCACCTTAACTAATGTTCACTAAATTCTTCCATATCAAGTCAATTTTTCATCATAGGACTTGAAACATATTCATTATAATACTGCCTTAATATAACAAATAGATATTTTCCAGGTAAGTTTACATTCCCAAAGAACACTAAGTTGTCACTAGGAAGCTATCAAAGATCTTATAAATAGGATGAAAATTGTGTTTACAAAGTGGTGTTAGAAGATAACGCTATAAATTTTGGCACTGCCCCAGTTTCTGTAAAAAGCCCAAAGAGGGATAAACCGCCTTTATGTTTACACTTACATTTTTATAAAAATCAATAAAAATGGAATCAATGAGGCTAAAATAAGCTTCAATATACTGTAATGTTAGTGCTTAAATAATATCATATGTAACAAGCGACTTCAGTGTCTATTATATTAAAACCAACCAACCAGAAAATAACAAGACTAAGATAGATATTTGCATATTATTAAAATATTAACATTAACCCTTTAAAAGTTAGTAAGAAAATATTAGTAATATTTTAATAATATGCATGGCAATATGGTTATGTATATATTATCAGAGACAATATGATCTACTTCCCTAAACTGAAATAAAAATATTAACTCGTTAAACATTTTATAGCCCAGTATTCCATAACAACCGCATCAAAAAGATTTTGTTAGAATTGAGAAGTTATGCCGAAGTGTTAAATACTACCACCAAATCAATGCTGGTGTCTAACTAGCAAGAGGAAACACATACTTGCATATTTTATTTAAGGAAAGCAAGGAAAGAATACTACATTTCTTTGCTTAATGTAGATGAATTGTTTTTCTGTACCTCGGCTACATGAAGAGGTGTTGAGTGGCAGTTATCAAGACGCACTCCCTGGAAATAAGTTGCAGCTATTTCAGTGTATTTTTTCATGTGTGCCCAGAGAAAAGGACAGTCTTCTGGTTTATTCCCATAGCGTAATTTAACGCTGTCTCCCCAGCAAATAAGTTCTCTCCTTAGATAAACTTCTGAGCCTGTTAAGAAAGGAGCTTGCTTTCAATGGTTCAAGAAATAACATGAAAACATTTACTTCAAGGAAACGTTGTTTTTAAATCACATTGACTATTTCTACCACAAACCATATATTGGTTAAAATTATGTCTAAAATGGTATGGGTATCTAAATCTATAAAGCTTAAAAAATTAATATTAATTTATATCTCATATCTATTTTGCTAAAATTCAACCTAGAGTCTCTCCTAAAAATGTGTACTTAGCGTAAAAAAAATCAAGTTCCTTCTTTTAAAGGAAATCAGTTATAGTAATATCACAGGCCCTTTGAAGACAGCGTTCTACCAAAAACATTTCCTCTTTAAAGATTTATTTATTTATTTATTTGAGAGAGAGAGAGAGAGAGAGATAGAGAGCATGAGCAGGAGAGGCAGAGGGAGAGGGAGAAAGAGAATCTCAAGCAGACTCCCTGCTGAGTGTGGAGCCTGATGTGGGGCTCAATCCCACAACCATGAGATTGTGACCCAAGTCAAAAATCAAGAGTTGGATACCTAACCAACTGAGCCACCGAGATGCCCCTCTGTCTAAAACATTTAAAGCTGTGTTTCCACCTTGTTACTCATTTTGGCACTAGTTACATTAAATCTACAGCATATAGTAGAATGCCTTTTTTCATTTAGAATGACTAGAAAGGAAAAGGCAGAGATACTTAAACCCAAAGTACATTCTTTAAAAAAAAAAAAAAAGGAGATTTTTGAATTAAATTTAAAGTCATTCAAAAAGACTTCTAAATGTTGAAAAACATATTGATGGGTCCCCAGCAAAATTCTTTCTGGCAAAGAAATAGCTGTAGAAAAATAAAATGCTAGGAGTGAGGGGGAACCTAAAATTAGTTTCTAGTGTAACTGCTATTCAAATACCTTAATACCCCTCTGGCTAATGAATGAAAATATCTCTTATGGCAATATAATTATAATAGCAGTGGTTTTAAATGTATTTTAAAATGCAACAGATTAAATTTTTAACCATAAAAAATCTTATGCAGAACCATAATACAAAATAGATAAAAGCCATTCTAGTTGAACATACAAGGACTAGGAGGGGAAAGGAAAAGATGAATCCCATCCTTTTTGTCCAACCCTTCTCTTCTCTCTTGAACTGAATGCACCTCTGTGATAAAATAGTTTAAGAACTATTAGCTTAGTGGGGAAAAAAGTCAACGAAACAGTTTAAATTTTGAGCTTGCTGTAAACTTTTCTTTCCCTATCCACAGAAAAGTTAACAAAAATGATGTACCAGGTTCAGCAAAGTTTCGAAGGGGATCATCTCCCATTACCCATCCATTATGCGCCATCAGAAAACAAGCTTTATTTGGGTTATGAATCATAGATTCTTCTGCGGAGAGGGTCATTTCTTCAAATGGGAACGTAAAATATCTATGGAGATGCAATTAAATATTAAATCCATATAGAGAGATTCTTTGGAGAGAATTTAAATTAGTACTATTAAAATTAAACCTCCTCCCTCATAAAGAGAATAAAGATTAGTTTTACACTACAGGAAATAAACTCTGTTATAGGTCGAAAATCTCCAGAAGACTTTCTGAGTAAATCTACTAAGATTTGAGAAATGGAAAGTCAGCATTATAGCATTATCTGATTAACATTTTAAATAATAAATTTAAAAATCTCATAAAATTACTAAGAAAATCACTGAAGTATTGATGTTACTTTGCAAAAAGCTTTTACTACACTTCAGCTGCCTAATCTGTGCTGCACATTACCTACAAGATGAGGAGCTAAATGCTGGCTCAATTTGATTAACTTTGGAATTTACTAGTAAGTATGTAGTCCTCCAGAAACATTAATGTAATCATTGTAAATTGATTCATATTGATGATAGCTTCTTTAAGGACTGGCCTAACAAAATTAATTAATATTAACCCTAGTTACCAAATCAAAACTTCTATTTCAATTAAAAAATGTACTGAAGTCACATATTGAAGGAAAACACTCAGATTAATTCAAAAAGTTAAATGCAATTTTCAATTTTTAACCTTTAATGAGAAGAAATGAGAAGAAAACAGAAATGGAATACCTGGTAACTAAAGGATGTTTTCTAGTGACAGGTCCTAATTTAGGGCCGTGGCCAGCCAGACGTTCATAAGACACATTTCCCAAAAGGCAATTAACTGCCTGGAACACATTAAATTATATATATATTAAATTATATATGTCAGTGAAAGCAACAACATTAAGACTCAAAGAAAAACAGTTCAAAAGCAGGTGAAACCTGTTCCTGATGATAGTTCATGAGTTGATGCTTCTCTGAATTTAACTCCTCAATTCTCTTACGGAACCAATTACAGCATTCATCAATTGCAGCTGGGCCCTTGCTAGAGCAAAGAGAACAATACACACTGAATATTTAATGGTTTTAAAATTCTGTATTTAAAAATTTTCTAACAAGGGTCATAGAAACTTTATTTATTTATTTATTTGAAACTTTAAACATATTCATCAGGATCTTAATTAATGGCTGAAGACGTTTTTCAACTGTAAAAAATTTTATATACACATATAGGACCATGGTCCACCACACAGAAAAAAGAGGAAAACATCATTCATTTGAACTAGTAGAATTATGGTGAATTACTTTATTTGATTTTCTTTTCAGGATTTTAATACTAGCCATAAAGGTTTGTAAGTGATATTATCCTTTATTTCATAGGAAAAATACATAACATACTCATGTGGTATGAAAGTTGCTAGTGCAATGTTCATATCTACAGTACAGCCAAGCCTTCTGTATTCAGGATCCTGAATAATCTTAAGGTGTTCCTTTGGATCAGGCTTGGTTGTTATTTTCCTATTTTCTGAAAGAAAGAAAGATGATATCTTAAGTGCAAATATCCACAAGGAGATTATAACTGTTACTGATAACCAAATTTTTAGTTTACAATTTTTTCACAGAAAAATAAATGTTTTTTTACAAGCATCCTTCCTACCTGCCTCCCATCTTCCTGCACACCACCTAACACACACACACACACACACACACACACACAGAAAGAGAGGGAGAGACAGACTGGAAAGAAGAAGAACATTACAGAATAAAAACACAGGGATTCTTATCAGTTCAACCGCTGCCCCACTTCTCTGCCTTAGTTAGCATTCTCTTACTACAATTTTTAGGGCATTAAGATGTTGGTGGTACAATTTTCCTTCTAGGTGTTACCAAATACACTAATATTAGGAGTACTTTTTCTTCAAACATCGCTTTCTATTCAAAAGTAAGTTTTGTTTTTTTTTT